CACCCTAACCTGACCCCCTTTCCTCAAAAAACTTTTTCCCAGCTTTTAAATAACTTACCCCCTTTTCCATATCTTGCAACATCGCCCTTTGCCCCTATCCCTCTATCATTGTTTTTTCTAAATCCAAAATCAATAAAAATTTCCCCTATCTTTTTTAAAATTACTGTTCACAATTGTTTCAATGAAAACACCTGATCTACCCCCCACCCCTCTAAAACCCCTTTCCCACCCGCAATCCTACATTCGTCTTACCTCAATTTTTTTCAAATTATATTTATTTTATATATTATATATATTTATATATATATAAATATATATAAAAAAATTTATATAAAATATATATATATTTAAAAATAATAATATAAATAAATATATAATTTTATTAAAAATATATATTATATATATATTTATATATAAAATTTATTATTATTATAATATAATAAATATATATTATATTTTATATTATATATTTATAAAAATTTAAAATTATAAAAATATATTATAAATTATATATAAATTAATATAAATATTTATAATATTATATATATTATATATATTATATATATATTAAAAATATAAAATAAATATATATATAATATTATAAATATATATATATATATTATATTATATTTATATATATTATAATATATATATATTATATAATATATAATATTATATATAAATTTTTATATTAAAATATATATATATAATAATATATAATAATATATATATATAAATAAAACCCCAACAAAAAAAAAAGCTATATCATTTGTTTATAAAAACTGGAAAGTCTCTCAAAAACATTTACTCAATTTTTGCTTTTCAGAAAACTTAACAATCAGAAGAAAACAATTACCTAATAAATAACAAGTTAAAATAGGGTACCTTACTGATTTTAGTTTGTCAACTTTTAAATAAATTTGGGATTCTGCGTGTTTAACTTAAGTCCCCCAAAAAATTTATCTTTGCAACAATGATTATACAACAGCTTCTCCCCTTCATTTTGCAAAAATTTCCCTTTTTATTAGCAAAAAAAAGGGTTTCAAGGCTAACCTTTTAACACGTTATCAACTACAAAAATATCTTTTAAAGGTAAAACCTAGTCTTATGAAATTTTAATATTTGGGAACAACTAATCTCTTAGGTAAGCAGTTGATTAAAGAAGAATAAATATTTCCCAGTAATTCCCCAGCACTGTTATTAAAATAAATTAAAAATTTAAAGAAATACAAAATATCAACTAAAGACAAAATAAGTCATTAAGTACTCAAAATACATCTTTTTAAGGGTTCAAAAAAAATTTCACCTTGCAAAGCAGCATTTACAAAAACCCTTTTTAATTTTCCCTCCACTGATGTGAATGAATGTTTTCCAGGTTACCAGCAGACAATGCGCCTTGTCACAACTCCTACCACACGACGGGTTCCTGGTTCACAGAGCCAGGCCCAGGCTCTTGCTGCAAACTGCCAATCAAGGCAAGGGGCACTGGAATCACATCAGTTTAAACCATTGCTTAACTGTATTTGGACCTCACTCAAAGCACCAACATTCAACAGCCTTGATAATGAAGTCCTCTGAGTCAGTAAGCTGTGAGTTATTGAAAGTCTTGCAAGGCTGTGTCCTTCCTTGGTAGAGATCTCCATCCAACCACATGCCAAAGTTACCACTGAAAAAAAATTTAGTAAGTAGCTATTCATATAGATGTAATCTTAGTTTTATTAAAAAAAAAAATGAAGAAAAAAAAATATATATACAGTACAGAAATGTTTTACAGCTAAACAAGAAATAAAAACATTGGGGCTAAGCTCATGATAATTGAAATTAATAAACTAGTCCAGTACACCTGCTCATGTGCAACTTGGATTAACCTTGTACTATGACTCTTTGTATTCAAAATTATTAGGTATAGAAGCAATAATTTTAATTTATCACAGAGTAAGAGCATACATTTGAGTTTTACATGCACAGTAATATTATAGTTGCAGATAGTGCTAAACCTGTGAGGGGTCAACTGTCTGTAGGAAAATAGGAGATCCTGAACTAGAAAGCTTGTAAATGAGTTCTGAAGTTCAATGTCCTGCACAACAGCATGGCTCAGGACCGAATAAGAGATGCCTTTTTATGACAATGGAGTAAGCAGAAAGCCTAAATGCCAAATAGCAGAATAAGAAATTTACAACCAGGGTAGCTAGTAGTAGAGGCTAAGAAGCACAAGCTTATAGAGTTTGGAAGGCATTGGTCAAAAGTTAACAGACTGGGTCTAGGAGCAGGAGTTTCATCAATGTGAACACAAGAGAGTGTATATCTTGTACGGGAGCTGGAAGACTTACTCTCCTCCGCCCACAATAAGAGACTCGTTGTTTCCCTTGACAAAAAATGTGTTCTCTCCTGTCCAAGGGAACACTTGGAATTCTGGATGAAATGTGAACAGGAATGACTCTCCTGTACCATAGTAAAGCTCACTCACGTGCAATGAGCACGACACTACTGCGCCAAAAACCTGCAAAGAAATTACTTATTAAGTTTGAAGATCCTATTAATTGAAAATCAGCACCAAGTTTTATTTTACCACTGGCTGTTTCCTACCAAGATATCTTTGGAAAAGTTACAACATTAATTTTATTAATTAGTACAGCTGAACCTCCATAGAATGATCTAAAAGGGGTGAAGGGGTGTCCAATTTAGCAAAAATCTGTTACACTGACCATTTTAATTAAGTGGATACAGTCCACTTAATTGATCGATAACTGGAAAGACAACAGCCCCATGAAATGGGCTTCAATTGTGTATTGATACACTACCAAACATACTACAAATAAAGTAGCGTATGTTATAATACAGTACTGTACAGAACAGCTGTACCTATACCTGAAAAAGTTAAGAGTATAGTACAATATAGGCAAGAGTATAGTACAATATAGGCAAGAGTATAGTACAGTAATTTTTCTTACCATTCATGGAGGATACACAAGCTTAATCAAAGTTTCTACTGAACAGTCAAGGTCATATGCGTCTTAGCATTATCACTTACTTCAATAACACTGTACATGGTACTTTTATGAAGTACTGTGATGGATAAAACACTAAACCCAAGGAAAACTGTAGATGAAATAATAATGGAATGCGAGTGTACACGCAGACAAAAACTAACATTGCCTAGCTTTCAGGAATAATGAAAATGGACATGTCCAGGATTAAGTCAAGACTAGACAGCTGTCCAGGATGAAGCTTAGACTAGACAAATGTCCAAGACAAAGCCAAAACTAGACGCTTGCAATTAAGCTAAGTTGGTCCATTTTAACAAGGATACAACCAGACCAGACACTTGTGCAATATAGCAGAATTGGTGCGCTTCATGGCTATTTTAGTCAGACACCATTAAACAGAAAAGTTGAGCCTTTGTCCAGCCAGATTTTTTTGTCTTTTAGCTGATGTCCACTTTATAGAAGTTTGTTTTATCAAGGGTTTACCTAGTTTTCGTCGGATTCGGTTTTCGGCGACTCTTTTCGTCAAAATTTTGTTCCAATTTTCATACATCTGCTCAGTTTTCATAGAGTTGAAAGAGCTAACCACTGAACAGCTGCAAGACCATCAACTGGAACAGCAATAGACTGCAGCCGAGGAAATTGCTTCAGAGGAGGAGGAAGAGAGGGGAGAAATTCACTGAAGAAGGCACAAAGGACATGTGTGCAAAGTGGAGTGAATTGCAAAGTTTTGTGGAGAAATATCACCTTAAAGCTGCTGCAAGCCTTGTCTGCAACATGTTCAATGAAAATCCCTTGTCCCATTTTAGGCAACTCTTAAAGAGATGCCAGAAACTGACCTCTGGACAGATTTTTTTGTGTGACAGGGGTCCAGTGACAAGCTGGTTCTTGTACCAGTAAAAGACAAAGAAGGGAAGTAACCCCAGATAGGGCCTTGATACCTGAAGTCCTTATGGACAGGGATTTCCCTCCCAAACAATAACCTCTCTTCCTCTCTATCCCCTCCTTGCCATCATCCATACGCCAACAAGAGTCTTCAATAATAGTAGTAGTGATGCTAAATGTTCATTTATCCATTAGTCATTTATATTGATTTCTCATTGTTTTCTGTATGTAAAACTATAGAGATTCTCTAAATGTATTCTTTGTTAATATTTTTGGGTGTCTGGAACGGTTTAATTGGATTTACATTATTTCTTATGGGAAACATTACTTCATTTTCGTATGATTTGGTTTTCATCAAACTTTTTCAAACGAATTAATCATGAAAACCGAGGTTCCACTGTACTTATTGTTGCAAATCTCTGGATGAAGAAAAAAAACAATGCGATCTAAAACCTTTAACTTTTATGTTTCTCACAAAAAATAATCAATTTCACCCACTCTGAGGTAAATTTTAGGCCAATTCCATTTCTCAAACCCACCTAATTCCTGGCCATTTCATGAGTATGCTTTCTGTTGTGTTGATTGAACACAAGAAATTACCTGTACAACTATCAGAACTACCCTACAAATTACCTAGGTGGTAATTTGGCCAATTTTACATAAAATTCAATTTAAAAATAGTTCAAAATAAACACTGTGGGCACTCTAGCCACTAAAGCAACCACTTTCCTATATTCACTAATTACATCCCAGACCTCTCATATTTGAATCCATCACAAAAAAAAAAAAAAAAAAAAAAAAAGTTTTACCTTATTTGACAGATAAGTCAACTGCAGATATAAATCCAGATGTAATCCTTTTAACCCTTTTGAGGCCTAGTTCCTAGGCCATTTGTGTATCCACATGCTCTTACACTACCATCTATAGGATGAATGTGGAATATACAAACTAGCTGCTTCAGAAGCAAAATGCTATATCTAATCCCAGCTAATAAAATATAACCAACAATGATTGATTATGGTTTGAGCCATCCAAATAACTGAAAGACCTATATAAAAAAAAACTGACTGAGGGAGAGTTCAAGGCCCCTACCCTTCCTCAGAAAAATTGCCGGAAACCAAACATTTGAGATTATTTTGGTCTGAAACTCGCTAAAATCATTTTATTTCACTAACATGTCTTTCAGTCTATCAAAAGTACAGTCATTAAAACATTAAAACACCTAAATTTCATTATTTTAGCCATAACACAGAATCAGAGGCTAGCCATTCCCATCATGCACTGCTTGGGTCAGGATTTTCTCTATACTGAACACACCCACCAGATAGACCCATTCTCTCATGTCTAAGCCAGAATTTTAGAATCACAGAATATTTGAGGCAACTATTATTTAAGACAATATAGATCTATGTGAGCAACACTGGCCTCAATGCCACATGTGAGAGACAGTGAAAGGGTTAAAACTGTTCAATGAAAAATAAAATTTCATTTTTTTTTTTTTCAACAAGTCGGCCATCTCCCACTGAGGCAGGGTGACCCAAAGAGAAAGAAAATCCCCAAAAAGAAAATGCTTTCATCATCATTCAACACTTTCACCTCACACATAATCACTGTTTTTGCAGAGGTGCCCAGAATACAGCAGTTTAGAAGTATATATGTATAAAATACACAATATTTCTCTCCAAACTGCCAATATCCCAAACCCCTCCTTTAGACTAAAGTGCAGGCACTGTACTTCCCATTTCCAGTACTCAAGTCTGGCTATATAAAAATAACTGGTTTCCCTGAATCCCTTCACTAAATATTACCCTGCTCACACTCCAAGAGATCGTCAGGTCCCAAATATCATTTGTCCCCATTCACTCCTATCTAACATGCTCATGCATGCTTGCTGGAAGTCCAAGCCCCTCGCCCACAACACCTCCTTTACCCCCTCCCTCCAACCTTTTTGAGGATGACCCCTACCCCGCCTTCCTTCTCCTACAGATTTATACGCTCTCCATGTCATTCTACTTTGATCCATTCTCTCTAAATTACTAAACCACCTCAACAAACCCTCTTCAGCCCTCTAATACTTTTATTAACTCCACACCTTCTCCTAATTTCCACACTCCAAATTTTCTGCATAATATTTACACCACACACTGCTCTTAGACAGGACATCTCCACTGCCTCCAACTGCTTCCTTGCTGCAGCATTTACAACCCAAGTTTCACACCCATATAAGAGTGTTGGCACTACTATACTTTCATACATTCCCTTCTTTGCCTCCATAGATAGCATTTTTTTTTGTCTCCACATATACCTCAATGCACCACTCACCTTTTTTCCTTCATCAATTCTATGATTAACCTCATCCTTCATAAATCCATCTGCTGACGCATCAACTCCCAAATATCTGAAAACATTCACTTCTTCCATACTCCTCCTCCCCAATTTGATATCCAATTTTTCTTTATCTAAATCATTTGATACTCTCATCACCTTACTCTTTTCTATGTTCACTTTCAACTTTCTACCTTTACACACATTCCCAAATTCGTTCACTAACCTTTGAAATTTTTTCTTTAAAAATCTCCCTAAGCAAGTATATCAGCAAAAAGTAACTGTCATTCCCATTATGTATTTAATTCCCCATAATTTTAAACCCACCCCCTCCCAAACACCCAGCATTTACTTCTTTTAAAACCCCTTTAAAAATATATTAAAAAACCCAGGGTGACATTACCATCCCTGCTGCCCCACTTTTACCGGAAGATCCCCCTCCCTAAAACCCCCCAAACATGACCCAAAACCTAAAAAAACTCTTAAAAATTAGAAAATTCCCACCATTCAATACTTTTTGAAACATCTCCTACTGTCCCTATTATATCTACCCTTTTCAAATCCAAAATGAATAAAAATTCCCTACCTTTATCAAAATACTGCCACATTAGCTTCAATGTAAACACCTGATCTACAACCCCCTAAATCTAAAACCTCCTTGCCATCCGAATTTCTACATTCGTTTTCCCCTTTTAATTTTTTTAAATAAAACCCCTCCTTAATTTTTCCCCGGGTATCCCCAGTAAATTTTTTCCCTATAATTTTTTACAATCCTTTTGCCCCCCTTCCCCTTTATATAAAGGGATTTTACATGCCCCTTAACCCCGTACCCCCCTCTTTCTATATTTTTTTAAAACAAAAATCCCAACCCCAACACTATTTCCCCCCCGCTTTTAACTTTTTGCTGACCCCGTCGTTCCAGCCGCTTTACCCTCTTTATTCTCAAAAGCACTGCACCCCCCCCACACTCCCCCCCTTTTCCTTCACCCCAAAAAGATGATATACCCCCCGGGCCCAGGCACAAAATGACTCCCTCCTTTTCTTCGTCACATTTAAAAGTTCTCAAAATAACCCCCTTTCCCCAAAACCCCCTTTCCCCCCTCTATACTCCTTCCTGTTTTTAACTGATAAATCCTTTTTTTCCCTGGCTTTCTTAACTTTCTTTAAAATTCCCTTGACAGTACCTCTCCCATATCCCCGCTTCCTTTTGACTTACCCCCCTTTTTCCCCTTTTCTTTTATTTCCCCATATATCTACCTTCTTATCCCCTTCTTTTTGTAAGTATCTTAAAAACCCCCTTTTTCTT